ACAGGTACAGACTGGCTTTGCCTTATATACTGTATTTCCATGTGTTTGCTGCACGTCCTATTTTCCTAACAAAATATAAAGAAATGAGGCATTGCTTGAGAATTTTGCACAGTACTGTAGCATTAACATGTATGCAGTGGCAGATTTACCAACTTGATATCAAGTAAACATGTAAACGTTTTGGTGTTTTGTGTGACTATCAACGAGATTATTGCTGGACTCACTTGTGGTTCAAAGCAGCAGCTTCTTGGGAAATGAAAGAACTCGTAAATTACTTTTGCAGTTACCAAATTTTGGTAACTGCAAAAGTTGTTTTTCTTTGTATCCAACTTTGATAGTTAATCACATATCAAAGCTTGAAATAATCGTTTTATCTGATGTCCAGGAGCATGATGTGCCTTAAACTATAATTGCATTGTTGTTTTCAGTCACTCCAAAGTTGTAATTCAAGTATTTTCAAAGCCGACAAAACATTTCTTCATCACAAAAGTGGGCAGAAGAGACACAGTCTGCGTAAATTGAAGTGTTGGTTGTGCCGTGGCAAGCATTTTATTATTTCACCAAAATTGAAAACATCAGTAAGGCCATTGAAATACCTCTGAAGCATGCTGCTGGATTACACATGTAATGATTTTTCTCCTAACTTTGTATAGGGAAAAGTCTTTGCCTGGATCATGACAAAGAGCCAAGGACTGTGACACCATGATAAATCTAAGATATAACCATGACGAATGAAGCCTAGATGGTAAACCTGCCAGGTGGTTATTGATGTGTGTAGAAGGGAGCATGTTTCATTTTTTACCAAACAACAGGCTAATGGATGAGGACTCTAATCTGTCTGATTCCAGTAAAGGATGGGACAAAACCACTAAGCACTGACATAGAAGCATTTGGGGCCAATTAACACCACTGAAACATTAGGCCTAGAAACCAGGGTTATTTATCTCGCAACTCAAAGTAATGGATATTATGCCTGGCCTACTTTAGGTAGTATTTGGGCATGCTAATGGTAGTTGTTTATCTTGGAGCAGACATAGTATTTTTACAACATTTTGATATGTCATAACAGGGAAGGCACAGGTGAACTCAGGTTACACTTGCATGAAACTCAGACTTTACTAATATATGTTTGATATCAGCCTTGCTGTTACCACTAAGATAAAATGTTCTGTTTTTCAAACCTTTGCTCATTTATTCTCGTTAGTAGTTCTTATTTTTGAAGACAAAAACAAGCCAGTACTTCGACATGTACAACCTTTATATTTACAGACAATTTAGATGAGTAAAGAACTTTACATACCTGCCACATTTAGTTGCATACTTGTTTTTTATTGTTATTTTTTTTTTTTTTAGTTTGTTAGTGATTTATTCCTGTACTTTGTTTAATTTTTAAAGATTCATCTCTGTACATTTAATGAAATTGTTGGTTTCCAATCATAAGATCAACCACTTATGTTGAATGGACATAATGCCACATGTGTAGTAGTCATTAAACACATTCACACTGAAGCAATCAGATTGTTAAGTAGCATCTTTTCACAGCACTTACACCGTGGTATAATTAACTTTATTGAACCATTAAAGTTTAGCCCATACAATAAATGTGGAGAAAATGGCATTCATTGAATTAGTCTGTGAGTGTTTTGTCATTAAGTATGCATAGTGCTACACTGTGCTAAACGCTACTAATTAAAACGTGTGAAACACAAAGATTTTATGGCTGTAGCCCTTAATAAAAGGAAATATAAATATGAGATGTCACTTATTTAAATAGAATTTTAATAAATGTCAAATGTGAGACAGTTATTTATGCATGCAAGATTTGAGAGGACAGAGAAATTGGAGCTGTCAGAGTTTCTAAATACCAGCAGGAATTACAGTTTATTTTCTTTCAAATTCCACAACTTTTACATACAAGCTTGTTGAACAACGACGTGTGAACACTTGAAACTCTCATAAAAGATGAGATTTGTACATACTCACTAGTCAATATTAACACCCAAGGGATAGGATTTAATTGGGTGAAGCGTGGTCAGCTATGGCGCTGAGGATCTAATGGCTTTACACCAGGGTCACATGCTAACACGTACTGTGTAGTGTTCAGTTACAAAGGAGAGTTATGGAAAGAAATTAAAGTATTGTATTTTGTATTAATCATAAAATATTCAAGAAATAATCATTGTGAAAAACCTTTGCTGTACCAACAGGCAAATTTAATACAACCGAACTTCATGTGCAAAGTGTGACTATGATGTCACCTTCTTGATATTCAGAGTCAGTTTTCCAACGTAGCTTGTTGTCCTGACGTTTGACGTAGTTGTTTTCTTTTTTTAAAAATCAGTAATCAACAGGTGGCAGCGTCAGCATCGCTGTGAACTCTTCGTATTTGACGATCCCATTTGACTTGATGTGTGCCTCTCTGAAGAGGTCGTCCACTACACGAGGAAGATGGAGAAAACATAAGAGCATAAGTGGATAAGCAGCCAAATCGCACCATAAATTATGGTTATAATTAGTGTTATTGCTGTTGTTATTGTGAGATATTTAACAGGGATGAAATAAAGAAAAACAATATTGACTGAGAAGAATATTTTGCAACACAACACATTATATTTCAGTCACAAATATTCCCTTCCAGTATTTATCTGTGAGCAGTACTCAAACTAGTTTCCTAAGGGTTTATGTCTCTTCATATCATACACCATGGACCCTTGTTGACTTAACTACAAAAGTCTACTTAAAGATTTTCATTCCAGTACTTTTTCATGTCTTGAAAATGTCCTGAATACTCAAAATGGTTGTCTGTTGTCTCTTCTTTTAGGAAATTGGCATTACTATCTTCTTCAGCAGTTCGGGAATCCAAAAATTTGATAAATGTCTCCCCACTGAGAAGCCTTTTGAGCTTCATTTGACTATAAACAGCTTTATGTACACAGAACCCATCCACAGACTTTGAAATACAGCTTATGTTGCTCTGAGACCCGTCACTGTGTGAATGAGGTGGCTTTGAAAAACTTAAAAATCCACCCTGGAGATTTAACCAGATATCCGAATCCCAGCAGGAGTCCTTCCATTAAAACTCTCAGCTTGAGGTTCATATTTAACGCTTTACATCTGAAGTGAAACAAAACATCAACAAGAGAATTCACAGTGTCCTTAAATGACAGGAAGTGCAAGGGACTCATGTGCTTGGGTGCAGGCAAAAATAAAAAGCCTTCTTACTAAGTAAGATATTGTCTGTGATTTAATTAGGCGATACAAAAAGTTGTGACGCTAAATCACTTAAGCTGCATCATATGCCAATCAGTCACAGATTTTAGCTTTTTGTGGAAATTAAAACAAAGCCTCAGGATCAAATATTCAGCAGCTTGTCAGGGGAACAAGTTCAGTACAAAGGTGGTGTCGCCCAGTCCGTCCCCCTGGTGTCACAAAACTTGTGCCCCCTGTTGGATTGACCTGTACGGTCAGACATCTGCCAGGGTTTGACTTCAGCTATGATTTCAAGGTTGAAAAAATCTATAGAGGTCACAGATGATGTTACACACCTCTGTGCTGTAACCCCTTCAGAGAACAAAGCTTATAAATAGTCCTCAACATATGTCTTTGTTGACATTGCTATTGCTAGGGCTTTACTAGTATTCATAATATTCTGTCGGGTAGTGTTAGTGAAATATTTCACACAATATCTCTCTGATGGGAAAACGAATTGTCGCTTAATCAGCATGCAACACAACAGCAAATGCATTTCCTGACAGGAAGGAGGGAGTGGCCTTTAGGAGCCACGGAGAGAAACTATTGTAATTACCTACGAGATTCTGAGCTCAGCTCTAAAGACAAACTTCCTGCGATTAGTCACTTTTTGAGGGGTGGGTCAGTTACTGTGTCAAGATGCAGAACACGTGTATCATTAAAGAAATCAACTGTGGAAAACTATCAGGTTCAGAGTTCATTATAAATTCATTTTTTTCTCCTGATTCAACATTTGATATTTACTGCAGTCATAAAGTATTCAAATAAATGGTGGTTTATTGGTGTTTCGATGTTCGATACTGAAGCAAAGAATAAGTTCTTTAATATGGAAATGGTTTATTAATTATTTCTCTGCAAAGGTGAGAGGTGCATCTCTTTGCATCTTCCTGTGAGCAGGATTAAAACTACCAAAATGAATTTCACAAACTTTGTGGAGAGACAGACCATAGTGGTGTCCTTCCTGTCGTGCAATGCCCTACAATGCTATTTGAGCTCAGATCGAAACGTCCTCAAGATATTTATTAGAGACCTTAAGACTCACTTTGGATTATGAAACACTACGTAATCATCTAATATTGGCAGTATTGTTGCGAGGTATCAGTAAAAAGGCTCAGCTGTAGGCCGGTAACAACGTAACATCTCATTAATTAGAAACCTCATTTGCTCTACCTTCTTTGTTTGTGAGTTTCTCTCCTAACATGGTGAGCTTGGCCCGCAGCTCGGATGCCTCGATGTATCCCTTCTTCTGCTTGTCCGTCATCTTCAAGGCCTCCAGGATTTCCACTTTGGGATCCTCCTGTTGCATCTGTCTGTGCATTATTGACAGGAACGTAGAGAACTCCACCTCAGCAGACTTTTCTAAACACAAATGTGAAATCAGGTGGTACATTTTATTTAACCTTGACTTGATGATTAATGTAAGTTTAAAAAGAAAATGCCCTTTGCTCTTGTACTTCTTTAGGCCCTTTGTTATTTTTATTTGCTGTCTTTTCCCTGCATTTCTTAAAGGATATATAGTGTTATACTGTGTGTAGCACACATTAAGAAGGCTGTAAGAAAAATTTACAAAACCACGAATTTTAAAGCACAAACACCAGTTTATGCTTCAACAGTAGTAGTAAAGACTGTCAGTGCAATTTGAAATTACTGTCATTTAAACGTCACCTCTCAGACTTGTCCCTTATGCTACACCCACAACAAGCTGTTATTCAAAGACAAAAAGACTTTGATTTACTGCATGTTATTGTTTACCAATTTTGTGGACTTGTAGATGTCTCCTGATTTCACCAGGTGTGGGGCTTGTACCCAGGCAGCGCATAACTGTGATCAGGTCATTGTTATTTATCTTGCCGTTTTGATTCTTGTCATACAATGAGAAGCACTCTTTGTACTCTGCAGTGGGGAAAACAAAGTTTTTGAATGACAGTACTTTTTCCCCCCCTTGTTGTAATTAGTGAGGAGCTTTCACAGTAAATCTTGGGTAAACAGGAATTAATTAGACTAAAAAAGAAGAGAGTTTGGTTGTTTTGTACAAATAAATCATTTCAAACATCAGTAACAGAGTGAAACAGTGATCGACAACATGCACCTGTAGATGAGTCTTACCATTGATCTGAGCTTGTGAGAGGAATTTAGCCTGCAAGGTGACAATAGTGTGGCGTCACTTGTTAGGTAAATACAGAAAAATGGTCTGTTGTGTAAGAAAATACACAAAAAGGCTCAATGGAAAATGGAATTTCTTACCATGTCTGAGACTGCTGCGTTTCTGTTCAGGAAGAAGACAGTTTACTGAAGCCTGCGTCACCTGTCCCTCCACCTCTGTTTAAAGTCCAACACCCGTCGTAATTTAATATCTGTTGCTGTGGAAACACAGATATCGGATCCACAGCGCTGCATTGTCCTTCCTCTTACCACCCCTCCCATAAAAGGGACCGCTTACTACTAGACAACTACCATATGTTACCACAGTGACACATCATAAAAACGTTGTCTGACATCAAGTTAAAAGCAAGATTTAAAACTCCCAGATAACTTCAGATACATATCTAAGTGATAGTATGACGTTTTTTGTTTTGTTTTTTTTATTTAAAATGCACATTTAAAAAATCCCATTCACCATGGAGCAGTGCTATACAAATCATATTAGAATCCACATTTGGCAATAACAAACTGTGCAGGAAAAAAAATATTTACAGACATCTAAACCCACCTGTAATGATGCAAATAAATTTATACATTTATGTATTTTTTCTGGATTTGTGTTGATATTCTGTTTCGCTCCATTAAGATCAAACTACCGTAAAAATTAGAGACTTTTTTTTCTAAGTGAGCAAACATAGAAATTCAGCAGGGGATTAAATATACTTCAGCTTGAGGTTTATATTTAATGCTTTAGTTCTGAAGTGCAACAAAACATCAACAAGAGAATAGTTGATGTTTTGTTGCGTGCGTCAGACTCCGTTTTATCTTTTAAATCCTGTTTAAAAACTCATTTATTCAACATAGCTTTTCCATCTAGTTAGTGTCCCTATCTTATATTTGGTTCAATTTCTTATTTATGTACTTTATCTTTTAGCTATATCTGTTCTTAGTAACTTTGTTCTTATGTTCCCTTTTGTTGCTGTATAAATAAACAAATAAAGTTGTATTGTATTGTATTGTAATTCACAGTGTCCTTAAAAAGGCAGGAGGTGCAAAAGACTCGGGTGTTTGGGTGCAGGCGAAATAGAAAGCCTTCTTACTAAGACATTGCATGGGATTCGACTAGGTGATACAAGAAGGTGTGAAAAGATGCTAAATCACTTAAGCTGGATCATATGCCAGCCAGTCATATGACCCAGACTGACTGACCAATCAACAGAGAGCCTGTTATTTCTGTAATGCTGATGTTTCATGTTAAACTGAGACTTCTTATAGTGGCCTCCACTTAAAGATTAATCAGGTTTAATCTTGTTATTTTAATATTTTGTCATTGTATTGCTAGTTTTTTTTAACCTTTTATAAACCCATATACACTATACCGCCAAAAGTATTCACTCACCCATCCAAATCATTGAATTCAGGTGTTTCAATCACTTCCACAGCCACACGTGTATAAAATCAAGTAACTATGCATGCAGACTGTTTCTACACACATTTGTGAAAGAATGGGTCGCTCTCAGGAGCTTCCAGCATGGTACCGTGACATGATACCTCCTGTGCAACAAGTCCACTCATGAAATTTCCTCTATAGTGAATATTCCACAGTCACTGTTAGTGGTATTATAAAAAGAGGAAGCGACTGGAAACAACAGCAACTCCACGAGGAGAGTGAGGTCAACAGATGCTTAGGCACTTAGTGTGCAGTCGATCACGACAGACCTCCAGACTTCATGTAGCCTTTAGATTAGTTCATGAACAGTGTGTAGAGAGCTTCATCCAATGGGCTTCCATGGCTGAACAGCTGCATCCAAGTCTTACATCACCATCATAGACAATTTCATGCTCTCAATTACGTAGGAACAGTTTGGGGATGGCACTGAAATTCAAATTTGAAGGCAGATGAGTGAATACTTTCTACATTTAAAAAAAAACCAACTATTATTAAGGGGGGGTTTTGTTTGCCATGCAACTAAATTTCTATAAATATGCATATTTTAAGATAAAGTAATATACTTATATACTGTAACTACTTCTTTTTATCTTTTCCGACAGTCAAGAGAGGACCATGTGTAACCATAGCACCTGTTTCTTCAGGGGTGTTAAAGATCAATATTACAGCATTCAGCTGTTAATAGACTGGATTCTTTGAGGTTATGCAAGGTCAGCTTTCTCTTTTTCCATTCAGGTTTCTTCGTGGCACCGTCATATGTCAGATTCATTGAATTCTTTAAAAATAATTCATTACCAAACATTCCCAAAATGTCAATGCTCCACAGGTGTTTAAGTGGCACTTAATTCATTTGAATTAACAGCGAGGCTTGAATTTTTGCCTGATCTTATGGTCCTGTGCAATAGATTTTTAAATGCAACACGTTCACAAGTTATATTTGAATGACTGGTTGCAGTCGTGAGGCAGTGATTGGTTTCTAAGTAAAATAGAACATGTGTAATGGTAATTGAGAGGTAAATAAAGGACCATAGGGGCTCACTTTGTCTTTATTGGCTAAATTCCAGTCCAGTATTTATATCTTTAATTTTAACACATTCCCATTTGGCCAAAATATTTTAAAAATGATGAACAGATTTATTCCCAATTTGCATTAGTAAATTAAACATGTATGACATGAGAATTGCAAAATCTACCCTAATACTGATAACATGATGCATGACAGTGTGCAGTGCTGGTCTCTTTTATGATTTCTCATGCCACAAGATTCAAGCATTAAAAAAGTGAGACAAAGAGCGAAACATTTCACATACATCAATATAAAAATCTACAAAGGAGGCAAATTCCCTGCTCAGTACTGGGACAGGAGGCAGAATATCCTTGAGTTTAACAGTGAAAACCAGTGCACATCAATGAGTTTTATTAAGTGCCATAGTTAAGCACAGCTAATGTCTCTGCCACACAAAATGTGAGAAAATGGATTTTTTTAAAAGAAAGAAAAGAGAGCAGTTTCTTTCACTTATAAAAACATACAACACTGGTGAACCCTTTCAGTGGCTCTTCTTTATATGCAAAGTGTAGTAGGACCAGGGCTCCGGCACATAAATGAGCCCGGGGTACTTGTTGCGTAGCACTGGGTCATTCCACAGATAGGCCGCCCACAGAGCCACAAGGAACACGGTAACACCGAAACTATAGAACAGGAACAGACCGTTACTGTCGGGGCCAAGTCCTTTATGATGTTGGAATATCACCATAGCAACCATAGCAACGAAGGTGAGGAGGAAAAGTTCAGTGATTTGTCCTTCAGTGACCAAGTACCTAGAAGAAATTAAAAAAAAAGAGACAGGAGAAGTCAGAACATCAGTGAGAACCAAATGTCCAACAAAATATTATTATAAGGAAACTGCAATCTTTATGGAAACATCAATACTGCTATATATTGCAACAATCCTATTCACATTACTAACTATATTACCGTTTAGATGTCAGATAAGAAAAGTAATTGCTTTTCCAAAATGGCACAGGTTTCGGAGGATCGTCAAAGCTGCTCTCAAGCACGTCTATATCTTTCTTTGTGTGTAAAATTCAATTTGGACAATTGTTAGATGTTTGTTTATCTGGTTTAGTCGCATGTTCATTTTTGTCAGACTTTTTAGACAGAAAGAAATTGATTTTAGAAACAGGTTAGAAAATACTGGAGTTCAGAATACTAAAGGTCATTCTAAAAAAATTTAAACAGTTTGGAGTGCAGAATAATTGGAGGGACTGTTCATAAGCTATTAACTTCACTTGTAGTACTGAATGTTTCCCTGGCTTTACTTTAAATGTGAGCGTTACTGCTGTCCGTCTACTCTTTTCTTTATCTCAGTTAGTTTAGATTATGAAAGTTATTTGTAATCATCCCAATTAGTGTTAAGCATTTCTTCTCTAAAGCCCATGATTAGACTTCAGATGTCCTTCACAGTTTTCATCACTTTAATAACAACTGAATGTATTCATGGTGAGTTTGTGTGTCTGGTAATCTATGTAGTGTGTCTAAAGGATAGACTGACCAATAGTAGAGAGCGCTTGGTCCCAGCAACAGCCAACCAGCAAGAGGAACCTTTTTCTGTTCTTCACCACTGGAGAAGCAACCAGTGAAGTAGATGAACAGAATGATAAAGAAAGGAATATACCTGGCGGAAAAAAAAAGAGAAGCAAACCCTTATCCTCTGCACAGGATGAACATTATGTTCAAGTACATCTTTATGAACGGGCAATGAAAAATATTATTGAGCTCGGCTCAAGGCTACCTTTAAAACCTAAAAAAAGTAAACAGTATTTAACAAACCACAAAAGCAGAAGGAGAAAAAAAAACATTTCTTTCTCTTTTTGTTATTAAATGTTTAGACATGATAACGATAATGAGGTCATTTGTTTAACTTAACATCAGCGAGAATTATTAGTACATTTTTAAGCAGTGAATTAAAATGAAAGTGGCAATTCAGCAGAACAGTTGTAAAATTAAAAGAATCTAATTGCTGATCAAAGTTACTAAAAACAAGATGGAAAAAAAAATGTAATAAAATAAACTGCATTTTATTTTCAGAGTAAATATTACAGGGATGTGCTGTGCATGGTCAGTTAATAACACCTCTGAAATCTATTAAACTGTCAGCTGGTCGCAAGCTGGAGTCTTTCATACCACCCAGAGTTTGTAATTATTATTGATGGTTCTTATTTGTGTAAATTTAGTCCGACTGTAAATGTTTCATCTCCTGTAAAACGATTATCTCCATTTGGATGAGCCCAAAGATTTAAAAGGAACATTATTTTCCCATCAGGTCCACTTATTTGCTCCATTAACGGCTTTTCATTATATTTGTCAAACTAATTTGGCGAGAACAGCAAGTGACTATATGAGTTTAACATAGTCTCTGCTCATATTCCTGCTTCCTTAACAACTACACCGATTTTTGCGTACTACTATTAGTGTATCACAAATCACATCAGCACTACAATTTATGCTTGCAACTTAGAATTCAAAGGACTTTCGTACACATATCCAGGTTTGTGTACTCATTTATATTTTCATGTTTAAAATATTATGTTCTTCATATTAAAACATAAATAAAAGAATGTGTATAAAAGTAACCTGTTGGTATTGGGGCCAAGGCGCTGAACACTTCACAGCTGCACCTTCCCTCGTGCCCTGTCATCTGTCACAAAGCAGTTCAACCCTTCATGAGGCTGCTTCTGTAACGCCTGAGCAGAGGAAGCTTAAACACTGTCTCAACTCACTCATCTAATTTCATATGAGTTCTTTGGCAGCACCGGAGAGCAAGGGGATAAAAAGACAACTACAGTACAGTTCATCCTGATTCAACATATTAGCAATCTCCCTACTCACCCTCTATCTTCTTTCCAGAACTGCAATACTCAAACCACACCCATATCTGCATTACTGAGCGAACAGCAGACTCGTCTACGGAAAACTGTAATTCCTTTACCTCAGCAGTGAAAATGCAATGCTGGAACATTATGAGGGGAATAAAACATAAACAAACCCATAAAACTAAAAGTCTGTGCAATAATAAGAAATAGCAGGAGAGCTATAACTCTTCTTCATTTTAAGATAAAACCAAGTGATCTGGAAAAATTCTCCGTTTTCCTGCACGTAATAGGATTCATTTTCATTAGGATTCATTAGAGACAAAAACTGGTCACACATTAAAGCTTAATACTAACTGTGTACAGATTTCCTCAAAATCTCTGCTCTGATTACTTTACTTGCCTTTGTATGTTTTTTCAAAACACATCCATGATAACCCCGCGCCCCACCAGGGGAAATTGTGGTTCAAAGCGATCCATTTCTGTACATGCAACATAATTATTGTAAACATACCACATTAAGTGTCCCAGGTGTTCGTCATAATAATACAGCAGCTCAAAGGAGTCAATCTGAGGGAGAAGGACCAAATTAAATTCATTAAAACGTTCCCAGACACACAACCTTATGCTACAGTGCCACCTAGTGTTTTGGTGTGTAACTTCAACTTTATTACAGAACTCACAGAGAGCAAAACAAGATTAAATAAAACGGCTGTGAACAACATTAAATAATATAAAAATATAAAAAGACACTGGCTTTACCTGAAGTGACTGTATATTAAAAATGTTATAACTTACTGAAGAAAAGATTTCACGCAATTGATGTTTTTCCGAATGTGTAAAATCACAACATTTCATGAGATGATGAGTTGTTGAAAGCTGTTGACCGAGGACTTTAAGCATTTGATGAAGCCTCACACACACACAAAAGCTGCTGATTACAGTTGCCAGTTACAGATATGAAATCTAGAGAAATCCAAGTTCATGTTATTCTCAAATGGCAAAGAGTTGTCTGCATTTCCTAAGATTAAACCATTCAAAGGACTGCAATTAAAATGGTCAAATCTTACAAGTATCTCGGTATCATTATAGATCAGAATTTGTCATTTAAAACTCACATTCAAACGCTTGTGGCTAAGTTGAAACTAAACTTGGACAAAGTTACCTTTTTAGAAATCAATCTCGTTTCTCTCTCAAAGTGAGAAAACATTTAAATTTATGCACTTTTTTTTTTCCTTTATTGGATTACGGCGATCTGCTTTTTATGAATGCACCAGTCCAGTACCTAAAGAGATTAGATACTATCTACCATATTTTATTATTGGCTGTGGAAATTGTGTACATTACTGTTCTCTGTATGCCGCTGTTAAATGGCCATCTCTGTACAGTATATCTACAGACTTTGCCATTGGTTGGTTTTTAACTATAAATCTCTCCTTGGCTCGTTTCCTCCTATCTGTGTGTTTACATGTGTTTAAACTGCAACTAATACAGCCTTCGTTCTCACAACATCATACAACTGATTGTCAGAAATGGTTGCCGTAAAGGCGTTTAAGTGCATTTCAAGAATGGAGAGAATAACTCTTTTAGTCAGTGTGACTGTTTTAAATGTGGCTCTTAATGATCTGCTATTGCGTATTTTTCCCATGTTTGTACGAATTGTTGCTATGTTGTCATGTTTTGTAACTTTTGCTGCCACGATGCCAGGTCCCTCTTGGAAATGAGATTTTAATCTTAATGAGACTTTTACTTGGATAAATAAAGGAGTATAATAAAAATTGAAAAAAAACCATATAAAAGTAGAGATCTGGAACATCAGTCGACACCTCAAAGTACTACGCTGAAAGATGAGAGCAAACGTACATTTCTGTAGGCAGTAAATGGGTTTAAACCTCACAATGAAATTCACATGAACCAGTGTAAAAAAAATGTTTTTAAAAACCTTCTTTGACTCTCTGTTGGTCTAACTGTGGGGTAAGAAGTTGTGCATCAATCAGATGTTTGAACAACTACATATGAATCTTGGTTTTGTAATAAATAAGATCCGTAGTGATTTCTTCCCCTGGAATCAGCAGGGAAATAAATCAGGAACAAATAAAGCCAAGGTATAAAATCTTAACATGACTGCTGTTGTGCTGCTACATTAACCCACAGTATATAAGTGTTGACAAACACCACACTATCAAAGGTACGATGTTCTGCTTCTGGTCGATGTGACAATAAAAGATGTGATGATGACGACGAAGGAGCAGAGAGAAAAATAAGCTCCACTCCCACACAGCAGGATAAAGTCTGCTGCATCTAAACAGCTGCGGTGACACGTGTTTCTGCGGTGTACTCTCAGTTCAAAAAGAACAGCTTTTTTAAACTGCTGAAGACAAACAATATTTTTTGTACGAGCAGCATGCAGGAAGTTGTCCCACTTACATAAATAACATACAACGACACACTTTGACAACCTTCTCCATGTATTCCAGTATTCCCACTAAGCCCACCATGGATCTTAGCTGTTTGCCATCTTACCAGTGAAGCTGGTTTAAGGTCTTTGATGATGGGGTTCTCCCTCACTGATAGGTGCAGCTGATAGCCACTCAGGATGAGCCGGTGGTTGATGGAGTCTCCCACCAGGTGGATGCTGGCTCCCATGACGAACGTGATGATGCAGAGGTACACGGCTGTGCGAGACAGCACTCTCGGACTGCGCTCAATCAGCTGAATGGAGCAGAAACAAACATGTATACCTTAAAAGAGTTATTCTGGGGACACCTTTAAGAACTGGCTTCAACCACAGCGCCTGTGCGTCATCTCTGAGACTTTTTTTCACACAGCCTACATGTGCCGTTTTTCTTTTCTTGAATATGTTTTTGACTTTATCTAGGTGTGTTTGTGTTTTTATCTATTCAGCTGCACCTGCCTAGTTCTTCCTGTCTCTTAAATATAGATCTGCCTTAAAGGTAATGGATATTACGGGGCAAATAGCTTGTTTCATAACACAACCACACGGATGACCTACATCCTCTAACAAAAGCATGCAACTTGCGTCATTACACTGACTAGAAGTAACACTGTCTCTTTGCCAGTCAGGCGTTGAATTATGGGTTTTTATGTTGGTTTGCAAGAACCTAAATAGTCTGCCTCAAAATGCACATAAGTGGCTACCTGAAAAATCATAACACAAAATTATTACACAACATTTTAACTGATGCAATTCTGATTCCTGAAACTGAGGGAAAAAAAATTAACCCAAAATGATGTTGGATATAATGTTGCCATGTTGAGTTACAGTCTCTTAAAGCAGGTATTAAACAAGCTCAGTAATCCCTGGAAGGTTTTTCTAACTAGGGCCTCCCCAAAATTAGAATTTTATTGGTGAAAACTAAACTATCAAAAATCAAAACATGGCCAGCAGTCACAACATACAGAGCAGAAAAGGAATGACAAGATCTGGAATGCTGAAATCTTTGCCTCTCCTAGACTTGAGAGTCTTGAACTGTCCTAACTGTATAGGAATCACACATAAGCAATACGATACGAAACATTAAAAGTCAGCACAGATTTCAGTCTGTAAAGCAACAGAAGACCAGATTGTCCTGATGCAACTGCAGTAAAAGCAATATTGACATAAAGAGTTACACAGTAGGTCAAGTGTTCACATAGAAATTATTCACTGGAGAGAATACAGAAGACCTGATGTTGTCTTCACAATCACTAAGACACTCTGCTGCATTAAGACTTGCCTTGAGCATTAGGAATGGTGTTATGACATTGTAGGCCATGTGGAAATAGTCTCCAGCACTGGGCTTGTTCAGTGGAAACCACTCCAGAGGAAGAACGATCTGAAACATATGTAAGAAAATATTGGTTTCCACTGAAAGTGAAAATATTGATGTAACCATCCATTTGCCTTTTTTTCCTTCATTAGATTTAAACCACAAGAGGTACGAAGAAATTGCACTGAGCCTTCCTACCATAACAATGGGCCTTCCAAAGTCTAATATCCAGTTCTGCACAGTGAGACACAGCCACAGGTCAAAGTGGAAGCGCTGCTTTTTCTTCTGTGGCACACTTTCCTTTGAAACACCAGGAGCGCTGTAAACATACAGTAAGTCATTGTAATAGAGCAAGCATTACCAAAGCAAAGGGCAACACAGCTGCCGAGCACTTAGCAGACATGTTACTGCATTTATTTCAGGTTAAGAGCACGTGGTTTCCTTACTTGAATTCGAGTATTTTATATTGATGGTAAAACTACAGTATTTTAAAATGTTATTTTAAAACACAAGTTTATTCTTTTTTCACCCCCCCTTGCATCCTCCACTCTTTGATTTCAGAGTAATAATTATGCAGCAGCTGTGAAACTGCTGAACTATCCAACCTGCTGTTTATTGTGTGCAGCTGTGCAATTTCCTGTAGCATGTTGAGCACAGTCCCTATAGTTCAACATATGCACTGGGAAAGCAGGAAGATGAGTGCAGATAAATCCCCCATGGGCTTTCAGCCTTCCTCAAGGATTACAGGCTCCCTTGTAACACCAGCAAAACCAGTATTTACTGCAAAGAGTGCTGTGACCATCTGCATCTGCCTGAAATCCTTTTTCTTGCCATCCAGACATATTGATCATGAAGCTGCAAAAATTAATGAAGCCACACAATTTTTTTTGCAAAACTCAGCTGCTGGGAAACTTTTGCAGCCACTTGTTGGTTTCAGTTCAACATACTGCTGCTAGTAGCAACCACTGCTGATTCAGCTTAAAGCTGTGTCAGTCTAACCTATGTGTCTAGACCAGGAATTTCAAACTCATTATATATTATGGAATATATATAGCCCACTTTGATCTTAAGTGGGCTGGACTAGTGACACTCCCCCTTTCTGTCAATGAAAAAGAAGTTCAGTTGAAGATTTCATCCCTGAGCTTTAATTAATATAAGAAAAAGAAAGGCAATTTCAATGGTACATGTCAGTTTTTCCACATGATAAAGAAATGCTGCTGTAATATATGAAAGAGATCTTTCAGCTTGACTCTTTGAGCTTAAATTGTAACAACTAAATGTGTGATATTACAAAAGGAATTGAGGTAGCTCGTTGCCCTGTGATTATAAAATTTCACAGGAGTAAGTGAGTCACAAAAACTGCCCAGTTTTTGTGGACCAATTGTAAAAGTTGTAATTACTTTGGTGTAGTAAAGATGCCCATGTGGGAGGGCTTTATTAATAGGAAAACATTCAAAACGTATGCATTTAATAGTCCAAGAATTTATGCCCTCCTTCCCATTTTCCAAAGGATCCAGTAGGCCACAGTGGAGTCTTTGCAGAGCCGATTATGGCCTGTGACGTTTGACAACACTGGTCTAGACCTGTAAAGACACAAGTCAGGCTTTATATGACTTAAGGTCTCAAATGCTGTAGTTGCACGTGTTCTTTTCCTATAGCCCCTTTTGATTTTTTGCTTTTGCTTGACCTGATCTATTTTTTCTTCTTTTTACATGATTGTGTTTGCTGGCCAGATGTCTGAAGACTGAAAACAGACTAGTTACATCCAGATCAGCTACACAGCCAGTGTGAGATTTTCCAGAGTTAGCTGGTGTTCCTGTCATGTCATCAGAAAGCCTGAAGACAAGAGCGAGGTAAATACAACAACAGGCTTCCCCGCAAGAAGCCAGGATTTTGTTTCTACAACATTTGGCTTGAAATAACGCCTAACTGGCGCTATCAAACGGAGCATGCGCGCCTCCGTTTTCATTTGTACGTCCAATCATTCACTTGGCGCGCAGTCCAGCCTCCAGCATCTGTTCCTGGATACATGCAGGAGAAGAAGAGATAAGCAGATCCTGTACTGTAGAAAACATTTATTCTCCGGGTTTTACAGACGTTCGTTTCTTTAAGCTTTACGCTTTCTGTGTTTATGAACCGACTGCCCTTCAGCAAGGCGACGATAACAGCAGCGACATCTTCATGTTTAGAGTACAAACCTCTTCAGGTGTAAATCCTTGCCTTGACGCTTTCGTACAGTCTGCATCGTTGTTTCCGTGTAGGCAGCCGATGGTCTCGTTTACTTTACCTACTCTTACAGCTCCGTGGTCACAGGTGTGGAAAGCTAGCGGGATTCAACTACCCTAAACATTTTGTGTACAGTTAATGGTCTCGAGCGCAGTCGCTTCCGGGCTGTCGCCTTGTTTCCGCCCATCAGGAGAATCCACCAATCAAACTGCAGCAAAGACACTAGAAGTGGAGAGGGCACACTTCACCCCGAGTTGTGATTTGTAGGCTAGGCAGCTCAATTACCAACTTCAGTCTTACGGATTAAAAACTATAAAATACAATCTTCGAAGCCTGAATAAATAAATAAGCAAATAAGTGAACTTATAAGGACGTTTTTT